CGATGCGGGACTCGATCCCGGGACTCCAGGATCATGACCTGAGCCGAAGGCAGTCGCTTAACCAACTGAGCCACCCAGGCGCCCCTATAATATTGGATTCTAATCATTACTTGACATATCAGACTCTAAGTGCCTCAAGGGAAGGTTCTGTGTTCTACTCATCTCTCTATATCCAGTGCCCAGAAGTGCCTGACACACAGCGCTGCTCATCATGTCTGCTCAACAAACATAACTGGGCCCTCACTACATGCCAGGCACTGTGCAAGGCTCTGGGGATACAGAGATGCATAAGGAGCTCACAGCCCAACAAGTAAATCCACCATGAATATAGCCCTCAAAGTCAGGCGTGTACAGAGTTCTATGGGAGAACAAAAGAGAGGTGTCTTTTCTGCATGGGGGTGGGGACGGGGAACTCGGGGAACTCCGGGGAGGCTCCCAGGCGGGGAGGGGTCAGAGCAGTGTTGAGGGATACAGCATGTGCAATCGTGGGAGGAGAGCACGGTGCATTCTGAGAAGGGTTTCAAATGACAAGAAGTGGGGGCGGGGAGTGTGGTGATGAGAGGGCTGGAAAGTAGGGACGTGGAGGGAGATGACATGTTATTATCTGTTCACAAAGTGGGCAAATTACAGAGAATCACTTGTGACTTGACTGTGGCCCAGGATCAGCCAAAAAGCTCAAGCAAATCATCTAGAAATGGACACGACAGGGCAGCTAAGTTACCCACTGTTCATCCTGGTGCTCCAGCTGCTCCTCCTGGGTTAAATCATGCCATCAAAACATTACACCCTGCACCGCATCCTCTCAGCCAGAATGGCACGTTAGGTTCCCTTTTTTAGTGGAAACTTCAATGAAGAATTATTGGGTTGAATAAACAGGGCATATAGTGGGAAAGAGGCACCCAGTTCTGAGATCGAATCCTGACTTCACTGCTCACTGGCCGCGTGACGCCAGGCAAACAGTACTTCAGTTTCCTTGTTTGTAAAATGTAAACCATAATTCCTCCTCCGCAGGATTACCGTTGAGATAAAATGGACAAATGCACTCGACACATCATCCCTCAAAGCTGTTTGCTATTGCTTGGGGTGATGTCTCCATTATCTTTTGCAAACTCAAGGTGGAAAACTTGGTCTCTGACTCCTTTGCCTTCTGAGATCTAGTCATCCCACCCTCCCACATTCTCCCTGAACCAAGAGCCAGTCCTGATGGGTCCTGTGGAGGGCAGTATGGATGCTTGCCGCTAGGTGGCCGGTGGCCATGACCGTCTCTCCCACAGCACCCAGAGCACCGCCCAGCGAAGAACTGACAGCTGGCTTGAATTGTGTATTCTTCATCCTCACTCAACTTTCTTAGGCCCAAACACAATCTCTTTCTGTCAAGCTTTAGCTTGAGGAAAATGTTTTCCCTGCAGGAGATTCTGTATGCTTTCTGGATTCAGAAAGTGGACACAGGGTGGCCCAGGGGTTTTCCCTCTTGGCCTTTTCCCCCAAGAATCTGTCAGCCAAATGTATGGCTTAAATATGGAGCACAGTGAGACTTGAAAGTAACTTATTCTTTTCATCTTTCCCACCACCAAGCTTTGTTTCATCCTTAAAAGTCTTACTTACAAACCTTGTTTCAACCTGTAAGCTGTCTCAAACCCTCCCAGAAAGAGGTGTGGTACAAATCTAAAATAAATCGAATTCCTCCTTATCTGTGGAGTCTACTCTCTAGAAACCCAACTAAGATGAATTATGGCATTTGGGAAATGTCTGGGGATCTTTGGACAGATACCACTGACAAACCAGGCAGCCAACTGAGGAGTTTTTTGAGCCAACTGAGGAGTTCCTCTGACCTAGCACAGGAATTAAGAACCTTCTCCCCTCCCGCCCTCATTACTGTTTATGGTAAGAGATAAAGAACAGGGAACTCTGGGCATAAACCTACTCCAGCCTTTGAACGCTGGGAGGAATTGAAAGTAGCTCCTCCTTGGTAAAGGGTAACCTGGTTTACCCAGCTTCTTTTCTGGGATACACAAGCAAGGAGCCATGCAGGGCCGAACAGGATGTGCTGTGAAGGTCACAGAGTGTAGCTCAGCAGCATGAGGAGCTAGGATCTAAGGATTCAGGTCCTAGGCAAATGGCTGGGTCAGGACCAAACACTAGAATGGATCAGCCTTCTCCAAGCTCTGCTTCTGCTTCCCTCCCAGGTTCACTGGAATCAATCCTCAGAGCTCAGGGGCAGACCCCTAAGAAGGGAAATGGGAGGGAGAGGAGCTGGTCAAAGGACAGCTCCAAACCAGGGAACAGGGCATTGAGATTAGACCTGCGTGTGTGTGCGTGTGTGCAAGACTAAGAGGCTAGGGACCAGACAGTTCCAACTTCTGCTGCCTAACCCAGTCTCTGCCACTGTGTGACCCAGGCAGTCTCTCTTGACTTCTCTGGACAGAAGCCCCTGGTGTTGGTGCAAGTCTTCTATACTCCAGCCATACCAATTCCAAAACATCCCCTGCCCGCACATACTCGCAGGCTGTTCCTGCTGCCTACAAAGTCCATTCTCTTTATGCGTGTTAGCAAACTCATCCTTAAGGTCTAGCTGAAATGTTACCTCCTTTGGTAAATCTTCCTTAACTCTCCCTGCAGAACTAGTGGGCCCCCTCCTTACTCCTGCAGGGCTTTGCTTCTCTGCCACTCTAGACCAGTTACCACAGTGCATCCTACCTGTAGGTTGATATGTGTTTCCCACTAGATTGAGTTCCTGAGGAGCAGAGACTCTCGTGTTTATTTTTGTATCTGTTGTAGCACTTAGAACAGTGCCTGGCACAACAAATCATCACTGGATGAATGAACGAACCAACAAACAGACAGCTGGTCCAGGAGGCACTTCCTGGGTACCAAGGAAGGGATTTCATCTTGGGAAGGCTTCCTGAGTAATACACACAAAAACATCAAGATACCAAATTCTTGGTATCTGTTAGAGGCTGAGAAAAACATTTGCTGAAATTCAGTC